CCTTGTCTTTCAACCATTTGGAGGGCGACGTGGAGGTCGGAAGGCTCTCTGTGGCGGCGGTTGAGTATCTGGACGATCGTTTGAAGGTAGGAGGAGCAACCAAGCCTTGTGTTGGAGAAGTTGAAGGTTTCGTTGGCAGTGCTGGAACGGCTGCCAGGTGGCGGAAAGCTCGAGTAGGCGTACTCGTGGTATTTGATGTAGACGATGTAGGCTCTGTTGCCTTATTTTCCTCTTTCTTCTTACCTGCTTCATCGTCAGAACTTTCAGCAGCGGAGCTAAAGTCGGCCGGAGCTTTGTTCTTGAGCACAATTTCCCCTGAAGGGAAGCTCGGTAAGACTCTCACTGCGTTCGGAGACAAAAGTTCTAGATTTTTCCCTTCCTTCTGTTCATCCCTTGCAGCTTTAGTCAGTTTATCAATAGCCTCTCTGAAAGCCGGTACGGCGACTTCAGTGCCATTTTGTTGAGTTGATTTCGCCTGATCCGTCTGGTCAGTAGAGTTTGTCATGTCACGAGTTCTCGTCCTCGTGTAAGTGTTCGAGTTCGTTTCGGCGTCACTTCCATACACACGGGACCTCCAGCCTGACCCACTGCCTGTATCGCTGCCAAGATAGCTGTTCTCCCTACTGTAAGTGGGCTTGTAAGAGTTGCTGGGCTCCGAGTCTTTCATGTAACTGTTACTTCGCGAGTAACTGTAGCGAGAACTGTAGTTGGAGCCAGAACCATAGCCTGAACCATAGCCAGATTTATTGTAGTCGGAGCCATAGCCCGACTTCGCGTCAGAAGTGTACCCTGATCGTTCGAAATTTGTACCGCTGTTGAGTCGTGAAGTGTAGGATCCTCCCGGAGACCTCCCGCCCTCGGAGCGAGAGGAATCCCTAGAGAATCTGGAAGAGGAAGCGGGCGAGGGAGCAGAGAGTGTGGTGGCGGTGGGCGCGGCGGTGGTGGTGGAGAGGGAGGAGGGGCGGACTCTGTAGGTGGGCGACGCAGGTTTCGTGTCTCCGAACTTTGAAGCGATGGACGAAACCCCGGAAGGCTTCTCGTTGCTGTTGGAGCCAAAGCGAGAGCTGTAGGTACTGCCACCTGCAAAGGAGACTGGATTAAAGTAACCGTATGGAAGTGATTGTAAAAAGCCAGTATGAATATTCATCATCAATGTTACGTTTACTACCCAGCTTTGCCATGTATTATCTGTTATATGTAGTATTTTTCACTTCTCGTTATCTAAAGAAAAAAGACATAATTAACTCAGTTATAGTCAGTGACCAAACAAATGACATCCACTGAAAGTAAAAGATGTTGAGACCAGAAAAAAATAAATAAAAATTTGAAACATACTGACGCACAGACTAGATTCTAGACTAGGTTATATCCTCTTGGTGGCACACATATAAAAGAAACCGAAACCAAACGAAGGTCTTTGTCCCCGAAGTAATAACTCAGCAGAAAACATAAAAGAAAATATAAAGAACGTCAGACGCCTTCGCTCACACTAAAGTGGCAAACGCAATAATGAAACAGAAGAAAGAAAAAGAGGAGAGGCGTGAGATGGAGAAAGCTGGAGTACCTGGTGAGAGGAGGGAGGTGGTGTAGGCGCCCACAAACCTGAGCGAGGTCGGGCGAGGGCGTGGGAGGAAGCCTAGCGGACCACAGTGACCATCAGTAATGTTGTGGCAAGGATTGTTTGAAAGTGTCGTCGATGTACTTTTATTGAGGAGTTAGATTATTCCCTTTTGACGAGGACCTCGACATTTCTTAGACATTTTCTCCCCGTTTATCCCTTATTTTTATGAATAATGATTTTTATTTCTTGTCATTGTTCAGTAAACTAAATGGGCATTCTTAAGCAAAGGAACTGCAGAATTAACCTTTCGACATCAGTCTTGCACCCCACCTAATGTACATTTCATATTCTCTTTATTTTTATACTTTGATTTCGTAATCCTATAATAAGGAAGGGAGAGAGGGTAGTAATTTTGAAAACGAATGGAAATTTCAGATTTACAGATTTGTTGTGAACATCATCTTTTGATACAAACAGTTCATTTCAACTAAAGAACTCTGATAATTAAAAACACGTGCTTTAGCATTCATATTCACAAGAGAAAGTATGTGAATAATAAGAGAAAATATTGCCCAATTGATCTTGTAGATTTTTTTATTCTTATTCTTTAGTTATGTATGTCATTACAAAGATAAAAGCTAGCCTTTGCTTTCACATGATTTTTTCAACCTTTAGAGGGCCAAGTAGAGTGAATTCATAGAGAAAAAAGAAATTATTAAGTGATTGATATATTATCAAGGTGACACAATTGCCATGAAAATGACAAATATATCAGAAATAAAAACAATTTACCCTAATAGTAATCACCCGATACCGAGCACTGAAGCAAACCTCCCACCCTAGCCCTACTGCCAAGCACGACCCACAGAGGAGCCCCGGCGTGCTTACCTGAGCCAGAGCCGTACTGGGTCGTCGCTGCTTTCATTGGCTCGGGCGCGCTCCTGGTATCTATATTATATCTATGGTATAGAGTACGAGTCGCGGTCCCTGCTGGGGCGCTATCGCTTAGGTATATTGTATATATATTGTAATATATATTAGGCACGTGATGGATGCACAATTTTTCGACTGCTGGCGGCGTTCCGATTGTTATCGTTTTTATACGTACCCTGAGACCAAGCTGGGGATGGCTACATATATCAGTGCTCAGCCTGCCGAGGTAGATATATGACGCGAATCTCATTTTTTTGGTGAAGATCCTGGCCGTAAATCGCCTACACTTCTTTTGACTTTAGTTATGCGTAAGGATCAACCTTCAGCTCACTACAAACATCTGCTTTCATGTGAATACCTGTTGTGCTAATCTCGTACTGGACCTGAAATAGTATGATAAAATCTTCAATCTACACCACTAAAACATATCCCACTAATTCGCCGCTCAAACACTCACTTCTTGCGTACATATAACCGGTGCAACCATTTACTTTGGCTTAGCTGTTGAGCAGCCACACACGAATACTAACTTATCAAACGAAACAGGAGATTATAGAGAGATAGAGTACAGGTATTAATATGTAAGTATGATGTATATAAGATTATACATATATACGTTATAGGGTGTGAGCATAAATAAGGTATAGGTTAATATAGATATAGATAGTCCAGAGCCTACCACCAGGCAGTATATGGATGTAAATTAAGTTATAACATTATATATATTATTTTTGTGACTTTAGGCAGCCGCGGAAATCTCTCGTAATGTAATATATGTTAAACACGTCACTATACGACACTTGGTGAACGTGCTGGCATATACACGGTACATAGCTTAACCTTCATATGCAGCCAACCATTCACTAAATTAATTGATGCAGCCCTTTATATGTTACTGAAATGAATTAAATATATTATTTTTATTTTTAGTAGTATTTAGAACATGAACCACATAATGACGGTGCACAGTACTCAACATGATACTAATAACATGACTAATTTGGAAATACCGTATAGATAGAATATAATATATGTATGAAGATTCAGTATGTAAGTAGCCATCTACTATAGTTGTAATATAAGTTTGATATATATGCATGCCAATATAACACAGACACACAAACACGACACACCACAACACCCACACCACCAACACAGCCACACACACCAACCTACACACGAGCCAATCACGGACCACAAAAACGTACAGCATCAACACACACTGACACGATTCGCGACTTCAGACAAAATTGGCGAAACTAAGCTATATACGTTTATATTTACTATTATATATACTATATCATAATATATATACTTATATTTTTATACACACACTTCAAATGCTCAGATAGCAGGTAGTAATAGTTTAGTGTTATAATATATAAAAATTATATAGGGCTAAACATAGAGGTTTTATATAATAGGAATTATTGAAAGCCTTTAAAATCCCGATGTATGTTTAAGAGAAGTACTATATGACTTTTACAAAACTAATTTTGGTCCTTGTCTTTGCATATTTAATATGTTTTATATATTATCTTAGATAACCATTTACTTACCAAGTCTATATAAGATATGGCAGTCGTATAGAATTTAAATTAATTTCTTGATAGATATGACATTGTATATTTTAATAGATCGAAGTCATATTATATGAAGGTAGTAGTATCAGGAATTTTTTCTCATATATTTATTCTTGTATAGCCGAACATACACCCGACACACACACACGTACACACGACACAATCACATCCACACACACAGATCACACACATCACACACACACATCACCATCACCAATCCATCTCCCCTCTTCAAACTCTATCCAAGCTACTCATATACTTTCCTATGGCTTTCAGAAACCATCTAAAAGACCTTTTGCGAAATGGCCTCAGTCCACATGCTTATTTATTACGTATCTCACTATATATCCACACCCACATATGAAAGAAGACGGACACACCACACACACCACACACACCAGTTAAATCATTAGCATCACGTCCTTGCTAGTGTCAAATTATGAGATTTCTCTTTCATACGAAATAACAGATCATAACACTATATTTTTCAACAATTTTTTTTTCTCATGATGATAATAAAAAATATTTGTTTGTTAGTTTCTCAAACACAACGTACATCATAAATAGCATATATAGCCGCGTGACGACACACTAATGTATATATATATATTTTAATATACTACACAACACGCAAGCTATATAATGGTATAGTATACTTAGGTAGATAGGAGATATATATGATATAGGTATAAGAGATGTACATTTAGGATAGTAAGTCATAAGTACTATGAAGTATAGTAATATAAGTGACGGCTCTAGTATATTTAGCGATAAACAAAATTTATGTATGTAGTGGGTGAGTGGGAGAGTATGAAGGAGAGTAGAAGAGGATAGAGCTATAGAGAGATAGAGACTATATGAAGTAGATGAAGATATATATATATATATATGAGGGAATGATTTATATATATATTGTGTGGTGG